TAATGACCACTGTAAGAGTCAGTAATTAGATTGCTGTAATGTTCTCCTCATCTCCTTGGCTTCCCGTGTGCTGTAACACCATTTAATAAGATGTTGTAAATAGCCAGGAAGCTGACCAGCAATCACACTGAAACAGAACATGCCCATGTCCTCTCCTCCTCACCCCCACGCAGGGCCATTAGTTTATAAGGAAGAATGAACCAATTTTAAGATACTGGGTCAAAGAAACTGGTACAGCTCAAAGCTTTTTTAATTCCTGAAGGTGGGGCAGGTTATAAATTTACAGGGATTGGTGTCCATCCCATGGAATTTAGCTCGGAAGGAAGGGAGGATGAGGAGCTCGATGCCTCATTGGCTGGACTTCAGGAATTACTGAAGCTGAGCATTACTCTTTCACCCCCATGATGTTTTTGTAGTTTGCTTGTAGTAAGAAAACTTCTTGTAAGACTGAGTGCTTGTAAATGGAATAAACAGGATATCAGTATCAGTACCACCCTTAGGGATAACGTTTCTTCACCACAAGACCTCTTACTTTGCTAAAGGATACCACACCACTGGTCAATCTGCTGCTGTCTTCTCCTTAAGGGGCATGTTCTTGATCCTGCCCTTGTTGTGAGATAGCTCTTCCTACTATACCAGACTGAATGCTGAACTCCTCCTGGGGCCAAAAGCCAGAAGACATGGGCCATATAGCTCAGGAGAGAGGGAGGGCACAGTTTCTTCCCAGGCAAGGGGTAATAATGGTTCCTCAGGCCTTCCACTGCTCCCTGGCGAATGGGACTGGGTTTATGGTTTTGTCCTGTGGGACCCAGCAGCCACTGTTGCCTTCATTGCCTGCCGATACAGGAGCTTTGAGGAACGATCCCTGTGGCAGCACAGTCCCGTTGCCAGCCAGGTCAGGCACAGACCGTGCAAGAGTTCACGTCGCTGCCTCTTCCCTGGACTCTTTCTCATGAACCAGTTTGCTCTGCACTGCTGTTCCCAGGCTTTTCTATTGTATTCCAACATCAGCATCCAGGAGGAACAGGGATAGTTCCTAAATTTAAGGCTGTCCATCTGGCAACATTATAAATGTTCAGATTAACAGGAAGGTGACTGACAAAGGTACCCAATGAAGCCATAAATGGTGTGTTGCAGGAGAACACGGTGTTCCTGCCTATGCTTTTGAGGAGAATGCTGTGTCTTCGGAGTAGGGAGGACTCCAGGTTTTTTGTCGTTGGGTATTTTTGAGGCTTCCAGGCATTGTTCTTGACTCACCCAGTTCTTTCTCAGCTCAGCTTCCGGACTGCACATGTGGAAGGACCCGTCTCCGAATCTGCCTGTGTACCATAAACTGCGTGCTGAGGGGAGGAGCGACTCTGACTCTGGCACCCAGCCTCGTGCCAGCCCTGCACTGGGTGACAAGGGAGTGCAAAGCTAGACAGAAAGCTGGGCTGGTTCTGCAGGGTGTTCTGCACCGGGTGCTGCTGAGTGCTCTGGAGGCAGCTGTGGGAAGGACTTTGGTTGGAGATTCGCTATTACTCAGCATGTTTGCTGGGTAAATAAAGTCACTGCTTTTTCCTCCGAGTTCCTGGGCAAGGTTGCATGGGGAGAGGTCTGTGCCGGGGGGACGATCTTCAGCACTGTGCCTTCCACCTGGAAAGGTGAAGCCCTGCCTCTAAACCGCTAATGCAATCACGTATTACAGAGCACGCTGCCTCCTTTAACACCTAACTTGTTCCCTTTCTGTGCAGTCATCAGAACTGCCTGCTTTTAATAAAGGCTTGTGGGACTCTGGCAAACATGACTCCATCTGTCTGCTCCACTTCAAGGCTGTCAGTGTTCATCTGGGGCTGCTTCTCTTGCAGGCAATGTCTCTCTCTCTGGTAGCTGTCCTTACAAGGCTTCTTCAAATGAAACCCAGTCAGCAACACGAAAGCCAACAGAAGCATTCCCTGTCCAGTTACCTCCATCAGCAAGGTTGTTCCTTGTAACGAAAAACGCTACAAATGGAAAGTGAGTATTACTGTTCACACAGCTCTATGTCAAATTCACTGTTACATCCCAATTCAGGAAAGCAGCTTTATCGAGGAAAGGATTTAAACATGTGTTTGCAGTTCATTAAAAGGCCTTCTTTGAACAGAGGCAAGTTAAGCATGTGCTTACATGCTTCTGTTTGTGACCTGTGAAGAAAAACTGCAGTTGTAATTGGCACTAAGATAGGAAATGAAGAATGCCTTGCTCTGTAAAGATGTTCCTTCTTCTACCTGCTTACCGTGGCTGTGAAATCTCAGCTCTTTGGAGTCAGTGTTAGGACTCCAGGCAAATGGAGAGGTCAATGTATCCTCCACTGTGCTTCAGAACCTTGCAAGGCAAGGTAGAAACTCCACTTCTTTCCCTTCCAAAATGTTTTCTCCCTAATAGAGAAACAACTGCTTCAAGAAGAGGCCTTTCTTGTGTCCAGTGCTGACCTTTCTAGGTTAGTTATTTTGCTTTCTTGCTGTCAAGCCATTTGATCCAATGGCATTTGGCAGCCTGTAACTGCTTCCTAACTTCTGGCACAATTAACTGCACAGACAATCTATATAACTGTTTGTGATGAATGTGCTTTGTTGGTTGGGGTTTTATTTTCAGTGGACTTCAGAGCATTTCCTGGCTGCTTTGGTTACACTTTTCCTGCAAAATAGTTACTCTAATCAGCTGTGAAGCTAATGCTAATAACATATTAGAGCTGATGCTTGATTCAGCTCAAGTGGATCCTAAAAAAGTCACCACCATATTAATCATTAAAGGAAAGAAGTCAGACAAAAAGGTGGTGTTATTCACTTTTGCTCACGGTGCAGCTCCTCTCTGCTGGAAAGACAGTAACAATGATTCAGCAGGAGTGGGAAATTCTGTGAATAGGGAATTCATGGAGTGAACAAGTCCCTCTGCAGCTGATTGGTTGGTGGCATTTTTAGTTCTTGCTGAAATTGTCCTTCCTACAGCATTTTTAATAAATCATATTGTTAAGCTCTAGCTTCTATTATCTTAAGAAAGAGCAGAAGATTGCTCTGATCTAAGCCAGTTCTCTTGGACCTGTGGTGACAAGTATCAATGAATCAATGGGTATTTGCTGAGGACAGCCACTGAGAGAGATGTATGCTACTCACTGCGGTGCCTGCTCCACCTACCTGCAGCATCAGGCCCTGTCAGAGAACGTACAATACTTTCTGGCATCAAAGTTGGATATTTGTGGGCAGGGATTTCCTTTGTCACTGTAGGGTGCTGGATTTCATTGGCGTAGGGTTTCTAATGGTCTCTTGCTGGAAGAAGGTCGCTCGGGTCCTTTGAGGTAAGTCAGGTCCCTGCAAGAACAGCTAATGCTGTAGGGAAAGGATAAACGTGCATGTTCTGGCATTTGGAAAGCCAGTTTGAAACTCGTTCAACAAGTGCAGCTTTGTGTTGTGTGAGGCTGCAGAGCACCTCTGTGCCAGAAATGTCCTGTGGTGGCACATCTGGCCTTGAGAAAAACAGGGCTACGCTCATACACCTCTGTGTGTCCTGGGGACTGAATGAGGCCACGTAAGAGCTTGGTGTGAGAGCAGTATTGGCTCAGAAGAGGAAGATCCCCAGGGAAACTGGAACGAAGCCATCACTGGTTGTGTACATCAGAGCACAGCACTGCCAGGGCACCGGCGCCCCTGTGCAATACACAGCCTCCCACTGACCCAGCACCAACAGGTCTGAGCTGGAGGGCAGCCTCAGGCTCATCCTCGGCAGGCAACCCAGGTACTCCTGGTGTTTCCAGCCAGCTCCTCTACCACACATCCCTCCTCCTCACCGCCACAACACACATCAGACAGAGACTGTTTCTGCCTCTCTTGATCACACAAAGTCCCTTTATGTAATGCCCCTCAAGGGGTTGAGCTCTTGCTGATGAGCTTCAAGGACAATAAGCTTCAAGGGCAGTGAGCTTGGCAAAGGACACGCTCATCATTCTACCATTTATATATTTGCTATTAACTCTATCAACTTGAGATGGATGAATTTCCCTTTATGACCCAAATTGATATCAGTATTTACTTTGCTGCTAGAAGTGCCTTCGTTAGATCCCGTTTAGGTCTGTAGGTGCTGTTAATACCTGTTCATCAGCCATTAGCCAAGCTCGTGTTCTGGTGTTCCCAACATAAGAAGGACACGGAGCTGTTGGAGCAAGTCCAGAGGAGGCCACGAGGATGCTCAGGGGCTGGAGCACCTCCCATATGCAGACAGGCTGAGAACACTGGGGCTGTTCAGCCTGGAGAAGAGAAGCTGCGTGGAGACCTCAGAGCAGCTTCCAGTGTCTGAAGAGAGCCTATAAGGGATGCTGGGGATGGACTCCTCATCAGGGACTGTAGCGATAGGACAAGGGGTGATGGGTTTAAACTGAAACAGGGCAAGTTCAGGTTAGATCTAAGGCAGAAGCTCTTCCCTGTGAGGGTGCTGAGGCGCTGGCACAGGGTGCCCAGAGAAGCTGGGGCTGCCCCATCCCTGGCAGTGTTTAAGGCCAGGTTGGATGGGGCTTGGGTGGCATGGTCTGGTGTGAGGAGAGCTGGAACTGGATGATGTTAAGGTCCTTTCCAAACCGTCTATGGTTCTGTGACAAACTGCCCTTTCTAAGCTGTAGCTAACTAGAAAGAAGCCGTTCTAGCAAATGATGCCATATAAGTAATGCCATCCACTGAAAGCAAGTCTGCACCCACTGTAACATTTTCTGCAGATTCTGAGACCTGTTTGAAAAGCATCTCTGCCCAGAGCAGAAGTAACATTTTCTTCAGTCCCAGTCATGGAACATTTCTTCTCCCCAGGGCTGATACTGTGATTTGGAACATGCTGTGATCCCAGCTCTGAGACCTGCTGACACTGCTCCTTTCCCCGGGCTTCAGTTGTGGCCTCCACAAAGGGGTGGAGACATGAAAGTCTGTTCTGTGTCTCATCACCTCTTTTCTTTTCAAGGATCAGTTGTATTTGATGTTTGTCAAATCACACTCCAAGACAGCAACCATAAACATGTTAACTTTACACTCTGCAAGTAAATCTGTTCATTTTCAGAACTGCCTTCCACAGAGGCTGTTTTGTGGTCAACTTAAGCTGGTCCAAGTAAAACCCAGTTCCGAAAAAGGGCAGTTCACTTTTCCTCTTCAGAAATGACATTCCTGTCCCCAAGCAGACCTTAGAGCTAGGAGTTAGGACATACGCTATGAGGGGCATCGGCTCTGCCTGGCAGTGCAAACAAAACCAAATTCTTCATCTTCAGCATTAGTTTTCAGCCAGTTCAGCAACTTATTCCTATTTACCAAGGCTGCAGGACTGCTGGAGCTGACGCATGGAGCCATGTGATTAGGGCAGGGAAAAGTGTGCGACAGAGAACTGGCAGCAACCCACAGCTGCTGATGCTGATCATGAAACCACAGCCTCAGCTCCACAATAAGGGAGGGATTCATGCCTGAGAATTGGTAGCTAACACACAAACGTCTTCAGATCACGAGCCTCCCTTTTAGGGCCAACAGAGATCTAATCAGCTTTGTCAGTGGAGCCTGCAGCGTGGTTTATCTCCTCCTGCAGTGCTATGGACTTGATTAGATGAACCCCATCCTTACAGTGCCTGTTTCTGTCACTGACTGTAAAGAAAACCTGGTGTGAATAGCTCAGGGATTAGGTCAAAAGTTAATGAGGCGACTTCTGCCCCCAAGTGTTAGTTCTGCCCATTATAAGACAAAGATTTTTTCTTACTCCTACATTAAAGCACTAGTTAAGTGAGTTTTTTAATGCCACAAACTGAACAATGTCAGAAGGAAGAGTAGAATCCAGTGGCCCATCTTGTTAATACCAGTGCTTATGCTAATACAGCAGCAATGTGCTGTTCAAAGCCGTGTCTCCAAGCTAAAATTAACGGGTGTAGAGGAGGTGTTTTGATTTAATCAGTCTTGGAAGCAAAGAGGAGTGGTGGCTGCTTTTAGAAAGCAGGTCGTTTATGGAGTGATGAAGCAAGGAGGAGCCCCACTGCAGGCATGAGTGTTCAGAAAACCTTAACCTAAATCTCAGAGACTTATACAGTTCATTATAAATGGCTTTTCTCATAGCAAAATAGCAACTGGGAACACTGCTTCTTCAAAGCTTTCTTTGCATTGACCTGCTACTATTTAGCCAGATGTTTCTGTCTTAACGTTTAGGAAAACAAAAGTTCACATCAGCACGGGATGATGAAATGGTGCCACAGTAGCTGCAGAGCCAATGGAACCCATTTGTACCACTGCCAAGATGACAAAGCAAATATGAAATACAGCAGCAGCCGTGGCTGGCCCGGGAAGGACTTGTCCATCAAGTTCCCAAGTAATCCGTTTGTGAAACATGTGCCCTTATTGACTGACAGTGTCTATTATCTGCTTAGTTAACAGTGGGGATAAAGGTATTTTTCCTGCTGTATTTCAAGCTCTTATGCAAAAAGCTGCAGTTAAACTGTGTATAACCTTAGGATGGTGAACAGTGCCAAGGTCTCGGAGGATGCTTATTCAGTTTTTTATTAGCCACATGACAGACAGACTTTGTGGGTTTGCTGATTAGAGAAACCAGAGCCTCTTTCTTGGAAATTTCCCTATAGGAAGAGATTCTTGTAAAAAAATGGAATAGGTACATAAGCAAAATGGGTGCCTATTTGATGAGCAGCACCACAGCACACCAATGTTGTTAATGCACTGGTATGTGCACTATATATTGCAGGGATATAAAATCACTATAAGCACTATCAAAATACATACATAGATACTGTTAAAAATCAATGAGTTAGATCTTTTTCAAGCTGGCCTTCAGAGCTTCTCTGCTTGTTAGTAATGACAGCCAACGCCTCTATGTTTAATCCTAAGTGGGAAAAATGCTTCCCACATATTTCAGATTCATGGAGACTTGACTGCAGCCTGTACGTGCACAGAAAGACACCCAAGAGCGTCCATGTGTCCATGTTTCCCCGAGGAGTCAGGCTGGGCTGACACAGTCCTCCATGGGAGGCTCCCACACCAGTGGATTCCCCTCTAGGACACTGTCTGTGTGGGAGCACAAGGAATTGGGTGTGCACACTGCTGAGATGCTGGGAATGGCAGCACGCAGGCAGCACGTGGGCTGGGAGGAGCTGCTCCATCTCTGTTGTTACTTCACATGTAATGGGTTCCTGGCACTGGCTCCAGCCTCATCTAGCACTTGGCAGTGCTGCACGGCCCAATGCTTCCTACAAGCATAACTGAGCCTCCTTGTTATTGAGATGATTCATCCTGCCCCCGCACACCAGTGTCCTCCTGACCTCCTTAGTCTCTCCTTGCTTGCTGTAATTGTGTCACACAGCCTGTTTGTGCTCCTCAGGATGGTAACACAGGTCCTTGCGCGTGGACTTCCTTCCCTGACAGCCAAAACGCAGCAATTCACATGCCACCTAATTCATGGGCAAAAGGAGGGTCTGTTGGTCCCTCATCACCTTTAGCTTATGGAAAGCATCCTTAGGGTTGCCCAAAGGCAGGTCCACAGGCAGTGAAGCCTGCCCTGGTCTCCAGCCAGGCACTCAGCCTCCAGTGTGCCCTGCCCCAGTTACAGAGCTTGAGGAGTGACTGATGCACCCCATGTAAGCCAAACCTGGAGGCAGCTCAGTTTCACGTTCCTACATTATCTGCTCTGCCCAGCAAGGGAACTCTGCAGAGATCATCCCTCTGTGCTGGCAGGATAGCAGCAGTGCTCGGGGACCCTCCTGCCTGCAGCAAAGTGACAGGAGCAGCAGTAAGCAGCGCCTTGTGCTCACTCCTAGTTATCTGTGAGATGGAGCCTTCGGAGGGGAATAGTTCAGCTTTTCCTTTCCAGGCAGCCTGAGCGTCATGATCTGCGGTCCACACACTGAAGCCTGCAGAAGCCACCGAGGTGGCAAAGCAGCTAATAATTAAACCTGGTTTTACTGCAGGAGAAATGCTTCCGTAGCCAAGCACTGAGGAGAACACAATACTCCTTCTACATCAAAAGAATATGCAGATACCCAGGGTAAACTCTGGCCTGCACTTAGCATGCTGATTTCTGTGCTGCTATCTACTTGCCCTGACAGTTCCAGTGAGATCAGTGAGTTCTTCAACCCTCTTAGCAGTCCTCAGGGCTGTTAATCTCAAAGGGAAGAGGGGAAGTAGTTGCATTTCCAAGACGGACTCAGTTTGTGGAATTTCAAATGACCACAACTGTAGCATCAAACATGCACACAAATCTTGGCAACGACAGATGTGGTCATCTTCCCTCTGAGTGTTATTGTCAGTGTACTGTGCACATCATGTTCACACGCACACACACAGAGAGAGCAGATGCGGTTCAGAAGGCAGGTTAAGAGCAAAGATCCCTGCTTTCCGAAGCCCTGGGGAGATGCTGCTGGCTGGTGCTGAGGACTGGTGCAGTGATCAAACAAACAATGTAATATTCTGGGCTTTCTTTGTTCCAGTAAAAACCCCAAAACAACGAAAACCAGCGAGACTGAAAAACACAAAGGAAATGGAGCAGACAGACAAGATGGAGCAAACACAGCAGGAGGGGAGAAAAAGCAAAGGTGAATAATAGGCAGAGTTACTTCTATCAGTTCCAAAGTTCTTGCCTCCTGCTGCCAACCTCATGTACTCGTTGGGCAGTGGGGGCAGTTTCTGCAAGTTTCTCTTTAGCTAAGATCACTTCTTAATAGGCTGTGTTATTTGTAAAAAACATGAGGGTATCACTTTGTAAAAACATCCTTCTTCAGGAAGTGATGAAACACTCGCTCAGTTTATTAAAGTCTGTCCTCAAGTGTGTTTGCTGGATGGATGTTATCCTCACGTGGCTTTATTCCACTGAATCATCCCCAGGGAGAGTAGAAATGAGGGATGGCGGGGAAAGAGGTCTGGAAACAAATAACACTCTAAATCAAAAAGGCAGGACTTTGTACACAGCCTAGGCCACAGTAACAGCTCCCACAGGGCTGGATTCCTCCTGCGCTTACAGTCAAAGAGCAAAGCTTTACGTACATCAGCAACTTTCCTCTTAGTTCCTCAGTGCCTGACGTATGGCAGATGTGTCCCAGAGCTGCTAAGCACTCACACCATCATCCTGCTGATGGCACACATGCCTGAAACTTGGAAGACTCATCAGCAGAGGAGTGGGGGGAAAAGGCATTTATCTGGAGCTCTTACCAGGATAGATTTTGTCCAAAAGGACGGGTTCTATTGGGAATCCCCTGTCCTTCACAGGTGCTCTAAGGGAGATGAAAAGAAAAAAATCGCAGATAATCTCAAGGACAAATTGAGTTGCTCAGAGGTTGATCATTAGGAGCTGTGGCATTGATGTAACTTCAACCCTGACTCAAGAGATTCTCACATCAACCACTCCTGCCTGAATTGCCTCCTGTTTTTCTGATACCCAGCCAGCAGGGACTGAAAGGTTTCAGGTCATGGGGAAGCTGTCTCATCCCTCAGTACCTCAGCCCTGCTCTGCTGGCCCCTGCCTGCCGCTGTGCTGGCAAGAGCAACCACAGTCACTCAGGTCCAGGTATTGGGAATGCTTCAGAAGTAGATAAATAAAACCTTAATGAGGATCAATAGGAAAGAAAATCCAGAAGTAACGTCCTGCAAAGAGGTGACCCAAACCCAACAGCTGAAAGGGGCAATGGACTCTTTCTTATGATATTTGGCCCAAAATTTGCACAAAGGTTTGTTTCCCCCAAACTCCCAGAGGAAGAAGTGATTGTGAAATGGGGACTAAAGGAGAATGCTCACTTTTAACTCCTGCCTTGCAAAGGCAATTACATGGAAATCCTGTGCTTCCAACAATGCTGCATCAGGGTTAGTTTCCACTATCTCAGACAATGAAACCCCAAGGATCTGTCAATAAACTGCTGTTGTTTAAACAGCCTCTCTCATTCCCATGCTCAGACATGGTAAAACAAGAGGAAAAGATACCAAACACGACCATTTGATAAATCCTCAGTAATCTGCATAAGATCACCTAAAATTATCCTTCCTCTTTTCTGAAGAAGTAACCACTTCCTAAAACAAATAAGCAAGAATGACACTAATCTGAGCATTCTCCGTGAGGATGCAAAGCACTAAGCACATACAGAGACAGGCTCCTCCTGTTAATTCAGAGTGAACTCCCTCTCCTGTGGAGGAAGTAAGGCTGTCAGTCAGAGGCTGGTATTAACTGAAGTAATACCATTAGAAGGGTAGATGTTGCATGGAGGAGTTTACTTAGTGGTCTGCATTGGTGTGTTGGAAAGGACCCAATAGCTGAGCAAAGACAAGATATGAGCATGGGTTTGTTTCTACTAGATCCATCCTTCAAAACCCTCACTGCCTGGTAATGCAAGTCCCAGAAATGAGTTTCCTTAGAATAACATCAAGGGTGGAAAATGTCTGATGTGCTTTTCATGCATTTGTTATTATTGATTATTGACCAAAGGCAGGAAAAGAATCAGGGGTCTTAAATGTCTTGCGTGTGGTTAGGGAGATGCAGTTCTGAGACTGGGTGCTCATCACCGATGAGGCTGAAATGGAACAGCAGGATTTACAAACATGACTTACAGCATGATAAGGAATTCTGCTGGCATTAAAGCAGTGAGCAGCTACTGTTCTTCCAACACAATGCTCTTACAATGAACCTCTAAATGGGGGAAGAGGCTGATTATTCTGTGTTTGGTTACTAGAAAGAAGAGTAGAAGATAGTTCTGTGTTTGCATATGCTGGAAGATGTCCTTACCATTGCAAAGACATGATTTTATTCACTGCTTTCCTCGTTGATGCTTCTGATTTTCTGTAAGAGAACTATTGGTGATTTTACTGTGAGATCACTACACGATACTTGTTCACAGCCCGGTACTGGGCTAGGGCTAAAGCTCACAGCGTCTTATAGATAGTAACAAGAATAAATGCATACAAAACATACAGTGTCTCCAACTTTGTACCAGTGCTAATTAGTTACATACAGAATTATCTTTTAACATCCACTAACAACTCCAAAGTTAGGAGTTAAATAATATTATTCAGCATGTACAGATGTGAAAACGCTTCACCACACCACAGTAATTCCTTCAATCCCACTTTATAAAGATGTTTTGGGGGGTTCTGGGATGGGATACTTTTAGAAAGGTGGCTGTTTGCCCAAGCTGAGGATATGGAGACACAGTTTAGGAAGGGATGCAGGGGCAGGACCTGCATCGAGCCTTTGGGAGCAACTCCCATTCCTGACCGAGTTTTGTGTGCAGTCGAGGCAGGCCACTTTGCAAACACTGCAAACCATCGCAATAATGCTGAACTTAGAACTAACCTCCAGCAAGTGCTATTTCACATCCAGAAAGTGGCTTTGAAGGTGGAATCTAAGCCGTAAAAAATAGGATTAAAAAACTAAGTGACCATTAGACATCTGCTCGTCTAAGCCAGGCTGTAGGATTCCATGTAAGAAGCTGTTGCAGTGTCAGGCTTGGAAACAAAACTTATGGTTTCTGTCTGGCACAACCCCAAGGCTGAGCTTTGCCATTCAGCTGAGCTCGTTCCCTGGAGCACAAGCAGAGGACCACGCGTCCAAGGCTGTGATCAGCTCTCTGCTCCTTGCCAATACTCATCTGTCTGCTTTCACCCACAGCCATGCCAGCAGCAAGTGCAAATTAGCAGCAGTGACAGGATGAGCCT